GCACCTAATATATGTATCCCAGGTGATTTTTTTTTCTTTCTTTGTTTTAATTCATCTTGCAGTTCACTTGAGCTGTGTCTAATCTGTCATGCCTGCCCACTGTGTTTAAGTTTCAGTTATTGTATTTTTATTTCTAAAAGTTCTGTTTGGTTGTTTTAAAAAATCTGTCACTTTTCAAATTTTCTAAAAGATCTCAAATTATTTTCAAACTTTCCTACTAATAAAGGTTTCAGATATAAGCATTTTATAGTCTGTGCTTGATAATTCTAGGATTTTTAGTTCCTATTGTTTATTTCTGTTTATTCTTGCTCACGGTGTCTTATTTCCTGTCATGCCAAGTGACCTTTCAAAAATTATTTGTGCACATAATGTGAGGCCAGAGACTTTATTCCAGGAAAATTTTGCATTTTCCTTGGCCATTGCTTGGGAGTAGGAGGGCTCGCAGTGTGAGCCAGCTAAGCTTGAGGGCTCGAGAGTCTTGATGGTCTAAGCAGTTGACCTCGGTGAAGTACTCCATTTGATTTACTTCTCTGTTGTTGTTCTTCGAGAAAAACTGGAAAAGAATAAAAGACTGTAAGAAGATAAGGGCTTACTTACCATTCATTTTAACCTTGAGAGTATGGTCATTTGGTATACCAGCTTTTGGTGGGAAGGGTCTCCTATTAGAATCTGTTTCTTTTTTATGTGGGTTTTCAAATTCTATTTCCTTTGCCCCACAAGACCTCAAAATAGAAACTCATATGTCCTGGTTTTGTCCTTTATTTCTTACTATTTATCAGATACTTAATTGTTTTTAAGAAGATTTTTGTTTTCAGATATCTGTTCTATTCAGTGTTTATAGTTTGCTTTTGGAATTGTGTTTCAATAACCAAGAGACTGCAGATGTTCCTACTGTGAAATGGGTCATTCTAAGCATTGTACCAGATTTGGAGTTATGGCAGTGGACAAAATGGACAATTTCTTATTCTAATAAATAACACATTTCAGTGGGAGGAGTCAGATAGTAAAGTATATAGATGGTAAGTGCTAAGGAGAGAGATCAAGTACGGAGGTGGGGATAGATCAGTAGTGTCAGGATGTTGGAAAGGTTATAATTTTAGGATCCAAGGAAGACCTCACTGAGAAAGTGATAGAAGAATAAAGATCTAAAGGAGGTGAGTAAATAGGGTGGCTCTGGAGGGAAGAGCATTCTAGGCAAAGGGAACTAGTGCAGAGGCCTTCCTAGAAGTCTCAGCAAGGAGACCGGCTGGTCTGGAGAAGAAGATGGAGAGCGGCGAGTAGGATCACATTGGAGAGAACGACATAGTACTTGAGAACTTGGAGCCCTGATAGACCTTTTTATGGAGTCCTAAGAGGATTTTGAGCAGTGGTATAATGTGATTTTGTTCAGTTCAGGACGTTATGTTGAGAATAAGCTGTCAAGGGGTAAAAGTGTGAAGTAGGAAGAAGGGTTAGCTGTGGTACTTAGCCCAGGACTTTTCTAGGGCTGTTATATGTTACAGCGTAAACAGGACAACATTTCTGCCCACTTTCCGTCCAACTTATAGTTTACTCTTAAAAGTGTATTCTTATTTCAGGAGGTGATAGGTGTGAGGAAGAAGTAGAACTGGTTTGGTCTGAATATTTTATAGTTAAAATATTTTTAAGCTTAGAATATTTATAATTTCTATATAAATTACAAAACATTTTTAATTTAGGGACTTGTGATGATGGATTCATTTTATTAATTCTTTTAGCTTACAGTCAAGAAAAGGTATAACATTATTAGAGTGGTAAACAAAAATTTCCCCTGTGTAGAGAAGTCCTTTTTTGCTCTATGTATTTGAAGCTGTGTTACTGGGTACATAAAAATTCAGAGGGTTCCCCCCCTTTTGGATTCATCCCTTTATCATTATTAAAAGTCTCTATCTCTAGTAATGCTTTGTCAAACTGTTTTGTTTGAAATTAGAATAGCTGTATCAACTTTCTGTTGGTTGGTATTTGCCATGCTATCATTTTACCTTAACTTTTATGTGACTTTGTATGTAAGGTATATCTCCTACAAGCAGCCAATTTTTAAAATTCAGTATTGTTTAGTTCATTTACTTTTAAGGCAGTTTCTGATATATTTGGTTTCATTTTTGCCACTTTATCTTTTATTTCTATTTTATCCCCTTGTCTTCATCTTTTTTATCTCCTTTCCTGCTGCTTTCAAGTTAATCGGAGTCTTAAATTTTTCTTGTATCAGTTCATCTGTGTATACATTTGCTCTCATTTTAGTGGTTACCCTCGCAGGGGTCAGCGCACTTGCTTGCAGCCTGAATCCAGCCATCCTCCTCTTGTACATAAAACGTTACTGAAGCACAGCCACACCCCTCTGTTGACATATCAGGTATCACTGCTTTGGCACCACAATAGCGTAATGGAGTAGCTGCACAGTGAGATTCATGTATGGTTTACAGAGCCTAAAATATTTACCGTATGGTCCTTTGTAGAAAAAATTTGCCATCTCCTGCTCTTGAGCAGTGGTTCTTAAACTTGACCATGCATCAGAGTCCCTGGGAGAGCCCCCATCTCCAGAGTTTCTGATTCATTAGATTTCGGCTGGGGCCAGCGAATTTGCATTTTTAAGAATTTGCCAGGTGATGCCCAGCTGCTGGGCCAGTACCACTGTCCTAGAGGCTACAGTATGCATCTTTGACTTATTCAGTAAAAAATAAATGGGTTTACTACTTCCACAACAGCATTTAAAAGCCCAAAACCTATTTATTTGCTTACGTCTTAGGAGCTATTTTGTGATAATTTCAGACTGATAACTCAAAAGTCCATAAACAGTAGAATGGATATTACTAAATCGTGATATGTTCATACCCTAGAAAACTATAAGCAATGAAAATGAATCTTCCAAACATCATATTGAGTGAAAAGAAGCTAGATGCCAGAGTAGGTATTGTATGACTCCTTTATATAAGGCTCAAGAATGGCTAAAGCTAACTCTGGAGCTGGAAGTCAAGGCTAGCTGGCGGCAGTAGGCAGTAATGACTTTGGGGAGGTCAGTGAGGGTGTGTGTAGGGTACTGACACTGATCTTTTGGTCTGGAGACTGGTTACACTGCTTGTTTGTTTTCTGGAAATTCATTGAGCTGCATACTTACAATTTATATACTCTTGTCTACCTTATTTTGATAAAAAAGTTAAATTTTATTTTCCCAATAGTTTGAGGAAGTCAAGAGTTAAAAAATTTTTAAGTGGTAAGAGACATTTACTCTTTTCAGTTCTTGTGTATGTAGGAACAGAGCACTGTTTCCATGGGAACTTGGGGCTACTCGCTGTTTTAGTACCTGTCTCTCTGTAGATTTGTGTGTCTGCTCTGTCTCTCGGCTACATTTTCTTTTACAGGGTGGTGGCAGAAAGTTTATTTGGGACCATATTAGTGTTTTTTACAGAGCAGTCTATATAGAGCATAGGTTTTATCTGATCCAGCCTGGCTCCTTACTAGTATTATGCTAAAAAAGAAAAAAGAAAAATCTTTCAACTTGAAGATGGTTTTTTTCAGTTTAGTTTTTTCTTACACATTGTGCTATTTAAAAAAAAAAAGCCAACTTGATGAAATGGAAGGTGGCTTTATATTGGTGTGTCTATTTGGTTTTCTCTTTTCCAGATAAATTAAACACCTTACCTCTTGTCTGGTATATTTTCTTTTTATTAAATGTTAAATTATGTTATATTAAATATATTTAATAGTTGAACTTGAAGTATCCCTCTGTAGTAATGATTTCATGCTGGTTGATTTGGGTGTTTGCACAGGAAAGGGGAACAAGTTGAAAGGAAAAGATTCTGACACGTTATTGAACTGAAGCCTGTGGTAAATCTGCTGTGCCTCGCCCATTTTGTTTGTCGCGGTTGGTTTGTGCAGGGTCCTAGAGAAAACCGTCTTCTCAGATGAGTAAGATGCATACAGCCTGTGATTGGGGAGAGGGAAGGTCCATATTCTACAAGGAGATGATACTAGCATGGTTACTAATAAATATGCTAAAAGGAGCTTTGAGTAGATATATTTTAGAATCATTTATGAAAATAGATTGTGCAGTTTGGTTTCTGTGGCCTAAATAAATAGCCGACTGTAAGATCAGAGTTAATTATGCACAGAAATGAGCACTGTGATGTTCCATGTTTTACTGATGCAATAATAAGCACCCAGCCGAATGAATATTGCATAAAACCTTGTTATATATGTATAAATCTTCTTATGAATTAAAGAGGACAAAGCAAATTTAGGTTTATAAGCCTTTGTATGGAAAGCCTTTGAAATTTAGGTAAGGAATAAGGATTGCAGCTGCATTGATAATTTTTTTAATACATGGAGAATTTTTACCTTTCATCTGGCAGTAGCTGCCATAAGATGATGTCACCTTGTAGCTGATTGGCTGTTACAGCACCTAGGGCAGGGAAGAGAAAGAAAAATGCCGGCACAAACCTCAGTGGTGGTTCTGTGGTTATTTCTGTCTATTTTTGATAGAATCCTTGCTTAGTACCAAATCTACTGTATTTGGCCATGTGAACCATCGGGAGCATCCTAGGGTGAGGGAAATTAAGCGCTTTCAGAGGAATGAGGCGACTGATTTGCAAACGGATCTGTGATTGTAAGTTGCACAATCTGGGTGTAAGGAATAAGGCAGGGCGTGCTGGAAGATATACTATGGGAGGAGCTGGCAGAAAATGCTTATATGAGTAGCAGAAAAATGAAAAATGCTTTCTACTATCAGAGTTAATATATTTGGTTTTATGTTCTGCCTTCACATATAGGTAGGAGAAATGATAATATTGCAATCAAATTTTAAATCCTGGACTATTTTATCTAGTGTTAGCCAATATATAAATGCTTAATCGAAGGAGCTTTATTTTGTATTATATCTTACAAAGTAAGGATTTTATTTACAGCTTTATTTGATTTTTGAGTCTTGTGGGAAATGGAGCAAAGCGTAGTTCTCTTAAAATACATTTTTCTAATGCTTTGTGCAGATAAAAGCTTTGATGATGAAGAATCAGTGGATGGAAATAGGCCATCATCAGCTGCTTCAGCCTTCAAGGTTCCTGCACCTAAAACATCCGGAAATCCTGCCAACAGTGCAAGGAAGCCTGGTTCAGCAGGTGGCCCTAAGGTTGGAGGTAATGTAAATCCATTTCAAACCCGATGTGCATGCCTCGTGCCCTTGTTATGGACACACAGACTCAGAACTTGAGAGGAATATGTTTACTCATGACTGCAGCACGGTTGCAGGTCTGGGGCGTCTGCTGCAACACACAGGAGAATATGCTGCCTTTTCCCAAATGCTTTTAAAATAGGGTCTATTGCTGTTTCCTGTGAATTAGTGTGGTCTTGAGTGTGCTCGTTTTTCAGATGTCATTTTTCAAGGGAGACATTTAAGGGAATTTTATAGTTTGGGGTTTTTTGATTTTGTTTTTAAGGAGACAGCAGGTTTTTCAGAATTTGGCTATTAATTTTCAGGTGCTGTAGTTGTGAAAGAAATACTGGTTTATGTAATGTTTTCTCTGTGTTCATCTAGTAATGAGTCTTGCTTGAATACTTCAGTGTTGGAAAAATGGTTGAAGATACGGATATTGAATCATTTGTCACAATAGGAAATGGGTGGTGGTCAAGTGAAATTGCCTCAAAAATGGTTTCTGGCTTAGATGATAATAAATAGGAAAAAACAGCTTTTATGAAGCCATAAACACGTAGTACATTCTTTGACCACATTAGAACTGCTTCTGTCATACTGTTTATCTTTTAAAAATTTTTATGGTTATTTTTCATATTCTAATAAGAAAGCCATGAGTACTCTTCCGGTGCTAGTTTCTACCGGGTCTTTTTGGTAGAATGAATCCTATTAGAATAAGTATTTAATACTAAAAGGACATTAGCTTCTTTCTCTTTTTCTTTTGTGTATGTGTGTGTTAGTTATAATTTGGGAGAAAAGATTTTGCCTTGTTTTTGAGAACTGGTAGGAAAATCTTGATCTTCAGAATTTTGGTTTTTCCCCTTTTCATCTATAGCTCTTTTATCAAAAGTATAAAGAAAGGAAAAATAAACTGTATATTTTGACCAGGTCCTAGAAGTTGTGTTTTCTTGATCTTTCTATACAACTAAACATTAATTTCAAGTCATGTGATAGTCTCAATGCAGAAAAAATACCATAAATATTTCATTTGAACTATCTTTAGTGTGCCATATAACTAACAAGAAGGATGATATATATACACACTGATATATCTGTATATAAACATATACATATATTTACATATATTCATATGCATGTAAATAAGTAGATAAGTATTGTGAAATAGAAATATCTTCCTAATTTCTCTGGGTATTTTGAGTAATTTATGCTTTAATGTTTTAATTATTTTCTCCGTGTTATAGGAATATATTATCATCCAAATGTTAGTTATCCTATCCTATTACATGATACTGTCTATTATGCATTCTTATCTCTGGTAAAAAGTATATGACATTCTGTGATTTCTTCCTTTTGTAACATATGGCTACCTTGAATTACTTGCAAAGGGAATTTTTCTGTCTTGACTTTTGAATTATAGATTTCTGGTATATAGTTATTTCAGGTTTTATTTGACTTAAAATGGATTAATACTTGAAATGCATGGTGATAATATTTAACATTTTTGTGAATCTGAGCCATTCATCATTTTATAATTAACTCTGTTTTTCATGTTTTATTTTCCTTAGATGAAAATTGAGATTGCAGTTTACCTACAAAAGCTTGCTTAATTTTGATGTTAATTAAATTGATAAAATCAGCTTTTTTTTTTTTTTTTTTTAAGGAAACAGCAATCTTTTTTTTGCCACATTGCCTTGTCTGGTTTATAGTCCTACCAGATATAAAAATGCTAGATAGCTTTTGTGATTGTAGGCATTAATCACTCATACAGATTATATCATCCATCTTCCTAAGAAGGATGAGGTCTTCATTCCTTCTTCCTTCTCCTCCTCGTCCTCTTTCTCATCCTTCTTTTGGCAATTGCAGATTAATTCTGCAGATTTTTGTCTGTTGCTTTTGTTTGCCACAGCTTATTTAGTTTCACAGCCTATTTTTCTATCTAAGAAAAGAGCTACTAGCCAGAGGATACTGATACTGCTTCAGAAATTAATGCCCTTCTTGGCTCTCAGTCTTTTGAAAATTTAACTTTAGATTTTCTGTTCTTGGCAGAGGCTTATTGATTTTTAGATTAGTTATAGAAAGTTTTCTTAAAAGTTTTAGAATCTCTAAGTTAGAAGGGACATTGGTCATATAGTTCAGTTTAGTGTTCAAGTATAGCAGTCCCTTTCACAATATTCCCATTAGGTGACTATTCAATATCTGATTAGGATAATGTATGCACATTGATTAAAATTTGGGACAAAACTACCTACAATACCACTACATGTGAGCATAATCAACTGATATATTATGACGAACTTTCTTCTAATTACTTTCATAATTTCTTTTCCACTAATTTTTATGTGTATGCGTATTTTCTTAGGAGGACTAAGAAATTCAGGCACCATTCATTATGTCCTTTTGTAAACCTTTTTTTCTTACTAGTATTTTACCTGGAGCATTTTCTCATTATCTTAATTTATTAATTTAAAACTATTCATTGCTAAATATTAGCTAGGTTGCTTTCAGAATTTCCTTTTATCAACAATTCCATTATGCTTTTATGGATATCTTTCAGCGTATCTCCTCCAGTCATTTCCTTGGAATAAATTTCTTGAGCTTACTGAGTCAAAAGATGCATGGATTTCTCATCTTTCAGTTTGGCATAGTGTCCTCCAGAAAGGTTATAAGCCAAATTCAATTCTGAATAAATGAATTCTATTTTATATCGCTTTAAAATCTGCCTTTTTGTAACTTAAGCAGGGAACATTAATTATGTGTTAACATGATACTTTGAAATACTTGAAGGTTGGGCTGCCCTGTCTCTCTCTATAATCACTCTGCTTTCTAGGCTATAAACTTTCTTTCTCTTAAGTGTATATGGTATAATGAGGATTCACTCTAGGCATTCCATTTGCTACTTATACGCATATAATATTCAGATAGGTATGATTAGTTGCTAGTAAACGAATATGGTGTATGTGGGGTATATATATATATATTAGTTGAATAAGCCCATCACAGTCCACTGCGTTTAACAAATGTTTTTTCAAGTAAGATTGCCAAAATAAAAATAAAGTGTACTTCTCTGGAATGCTTACTGAATCTACTCTTGAAGTTTTGGAGTTTAATTTACTCCTCAGAGATATATGTCAAGATTAAAGAGGTGTATACTATTTTTAGCAAAGTATCCTATCCAGTTAATTAAAGCCAACAGGACCTGTGTTTAATCTTTAGTGTGTGTGACTTTTTCTTCGTTCTTTGGCTCAACGTGCCAACCTGTTTTACTCGTATTGTAGTTGTGTGGCCTTTAGGTCAAGGAGAATCAAAAACAGGGTCATGGGTTGCTCCATACCAACATATTATTGTTACAAAAACCCATATCACATGAGTGTCAGAGTGTTACCTTTGTGTTTTGCTAATTAGATAAAAGGATAAAATGAATTCCTTCATTTTTTTTTAATGAATTCCTTTAAATAGTCATTTCCTGAATAACCATTGTAACTTCATAATAGGGATTAAGGTAGGGGCACCTGGGTGGCTCAGTCGGTTAGGCGTCCAACTTCGGCTCAGGTCATGATCTCTTGTTCCATGAGTTCAAGCCCTCCCTCAGACTCTGTGCTGACAGCTTGGAGCCTGGAGCCTGCTTGGGATTCTGTTTCTCCCTCTCTCTTTGCCCCTCCCCTGCTCGTGCTCTGTCTCTCTGTCTCAAAAATAACATAAACATTGGAGGCACTTAAATGGCTCAGTCGATTAAGTGTCTGACTTTGGCTCAGGTCATGATCTCGTGGTTCTTCAGTTTGAGTCCCACGTTGGGCTCTGTGCTGACAGCTCAGAGCCTGGAGCCTCCTTTGGATTCTGTTTCCCTCTCTCTCTGCCCCTCCCCTACTAATGCTCTGTATTAAGGTAAATACTTTTTGGTTCGTGGTATAGAATATAATTGCTAAAGGTACCTGGTTTTTAAAAAATATTTGTATCTTTAGAATACTTTAGGTAATAATTTTTAAAAAATGCTTGCGTCTTCTCATATATATTCTCTCATTTAAACCTCATCCCCTCTAGAGTTCCTTAATTTATTATCCTAATTTTACTGATGAGCGAACTTAGGTTTGGAGAAGTTAAGTTGTATAGTGTCAAGCATCAAATAAGTGGGCAAAGCACAAAAACCCACTTTGCTATACTGCCACCCACAATAATTTCACTGGGTAAATAAGAGTTCTTCTAGATCCTTTAGCTCAAAGATTATAATCTACAGTGATGGTCACTACCTTTCAGCATCCATGACTCAGTCATTTTAAAGCTCAACTAATAGATTCTCAGAAAAATAGAATATTTGGAAATAAGCAAACCTGAATTTATTCATTGTAAATAGAAATGCTTTTAAAAAATAAAGATCATGAGAATTGGTATATATTTAATAAAACAGCTCTCACAGAATTGGATGTTTAATCTTGGAATTCATATTCTTAACTGGTAAACCTCTTGCTTTTGAACTTTATATAAAATCAAATAACTCTTCTGTTTGTGTGTTTTGTTGTGTTTGTTTTCTTCTCTTTTTCCCCCCGAATGTCAGGGAAGGTACTGAAGCAGAATGTTTTAGCCCTTAATCTTAAAGATGATCTGGCTCACTTCAGGTGAAGAGACTGAGCCTCCTGAGAGTTAAATGATGTATCCAGGATAAGACAGTTATTAGCAAACATGAAACAAGAACCCTTTGCTTGGCCAGAGGCTTTTCTTGGATCATCTCTGGGCCACTTCCTTTCCAGGACTGCATGTGATGCGTATTTCTTCGTTTTATCCCATATAGCAAGATACCATTATTGACCATGGGAATTTAGCAATGGGCCTGTAGCCTGTTCTGTGTTAAGTTACAACAAAAGCCATACCATTGACTGTCCATCATAAGAAGTCCTGGTGCCATCGATCTTACCTTTAGTTTTAAGGTAAATATGATTCAAGTAGTACAGTGAGTTTAGTGTAATAGTATCTTATCTCTCTAATCTTGTTGCT